AGTTTTTTTTTGCTTATGGAAAATGAAATGTTTCATAAACAACGTCATATTTGACATCATTGTCACGAAAAGAGCATAAAAGATCATTAAATTGATGCGCTGTTGCCAAAAATGCGAAATTTCTGCAGAAACCAGGAAATCCTAGAAAAATGTATATGTATGCTATACAAAGGGATTTTTGCATTTTTTTTCACGTCAGATGCACTTCGACAATCACCCGACAATTATCTATTACAACTGTGGTTTCATTCGACCTTTTTTTTTCAGTGGCACTGCTTGATATTAAGTTAGCACAGCCACCCCTTTGAAAAAAAACTAAGAGCGCCATGTTTTTTTTTTGGTCCACGACAAATATTTTTCTGTCATTCGAAAATTGCTCAACTCGTTTCTGGATGAAAAAAAAAATAATAAATCATCCAAAAAGTACTATGGTGTATCACTGAGAAATTGGAATATTAATTTTATTCGCTCTTGAAGAAACAGAGGTTCCACGACAAATTTGTTTTGAACACTGGACAATAATTTGATGGACCTCCGAACGAAAAAATAATAATGAATTAACATTAAATGCGCAGGTACTGCTGAGACAATATAAATAATGGAATTTCACCAAGCACACGCAGTTTTTCAGCTTCTACAAATTCAAGCACTCCACGACAAATACGTTTCAGTCTTTCGACAACTGTTCAATGGATTTTTGATCGAAGAAAAAATAAATAAACAAAGTTTGGTGAACGTATCACGGTGAAAATGGAATATTTCTATCATTCAGCCTTTGAACGTAGTTTTTTTTGCCTATGGAAAATGAAATGTTTCATAAACAACGTCATAAAGAGCATAAGAGATCATTTGATCAATGCGCTGTTGCCAAAAATGCGAAATTTCTGCAGAAACCAGGAAATCCTAGAAAAATGTATATATATATCCTCAAAATAGGGTTTTCTGCATTTTTTTCACGTCAGATGCACTTCGACAATCACTCGACAATCATCTATCACAACTGTGAATTCATTCGACCTTTTTGTTTCAGTGGCACTGCTAATTTAATATTAAGTTAGCACAGCCACCCCTTTGAAAAAAAACTAAGACAGCCATGTTTTTTTTCGGTTCACGACAAATATATTTCAGTCATCCGACAATTGTTCAATTCGTTTCTGAATGATAAAAAAATCATCCAAAGTACTATGGTGTATCACTGAGAAATTGGAATATTAATATTATTCGCTCCTGAAGAAACAGAGGTTCCACGACAAATTTGTTTTGAACACTGGACAACAATTTGATAAACCTCCGAACGAAAAAATTATAATGAATAAACATAAAATGAGCAGGTATATAGGTATATACTGCTGAGAGAATATAAATAATGAAATTTTACCAATGGCAACGCTGTTTTTCAGCATCTAGAAATTCAAACACTCCACGACAAATACGTTTCAGTCTTTCGACAACTGTTCAATGGATTTCTGATCGAAGAAAAAATAAATCAACAAAGTTAGGTGGATGTATCACGGTGAAAATGGAATATTTCTATCATTCAGCCTTTAAATGTAGTTTTTTTTTGCTTAGGGAAAATTAAATGTTTCATAAACAACGTCGGATTTAACATTAACTTCACGAAAAAAGCATAAGAGATCATTTAATTAATGCGCTGTTGCCAAAAATGCGAAATTTCTGCAGAAACCAGGAAATCCTAGAAAAATGTATATGTATGCTATGAAAAAGGGTTTTTTTGCATTTTTTTCACGTCAGATGCACTTCGACAATCACACGACAATTATCTATTACAACTGTGTTTCCATTCGACCTTTTTTCTTCAGTGGCACTGCTAACTTAATATTAAGTTAGCACAGCCACCCCTTTGAAAAAAAACTAAGAGAGTCATGTTTTTTTTTTTGTTCACGACAAATATATTTCAGTCATCCGACAATTGTTCAATTCGTTTCTGGATGAAAAAAAAATCATCCAAAGTACTATGGTGTATCACTGAGAACTCGACTGAGAAATTGGAATATTAATTTTATTCGCTCCTGAAGAAACAGAGGTTTCACGATAAATTTGTTTTGAACACTGGACAATAATTTGATGGACCCCCGAGCGAACAAATAATAATGAATTAACATAAAATGCGCAGGTACTGCTGAGACAATATAAATAATGGAATTTTACCAATCACACGCTGTTTTTCAGCTTCTAGAAATTCAAATACTCCACGACAAATACGTTTCAGTCTTTCGACAATTGTTCAATGGATTTCTGATCGAAGAAAAAATAAATCAACAAAGTTAGGTGGATGTATCACGGTGAAAATGGATTATTTCTATCATTCAGCCTTTAAGCGTAGTTTTTTTTTGCTTATGGAAAATGAAATGTTTCATAAACAACGTCATATTTGACATCATTGTCACGAAAAGAGCATAAAAGATCATTAAATTGATGCGCTGTTGCCAAAAATGCGAAATTTCTGCAGAAACCAGGATATCCTAGAAAAATGTATATATTATATGCTATAAAAAAAGATTTTTTGCATTTTTTTCACGCCAGTTGCACTTCGACAATTACTCGACAATTATCTTTTACAACTGTGATTTCATCCGACCTTTTTTGTTTCAGTGGCACTGCTAACTTAATACCCCTTTGAAAAAACTAGGAGCGCCATTTTTTTTTTGTTCACGACGAATATATTTCTGTCATTCGACAATTGTTCAATTCGTTTTTGAATGAAAAAAAAACATCCAAAGTACTATGGTGTATCACTGAGAGATGCTGAGAGATTGTAATATTAATTTTATTCTCTGAAGAAACAGAGGTTCCACGACAAATGAACACTGGACAATAATTTGATGGACCTCCGAACGAAAAAAGTAAACTGAATCAACATAAAATGCACAGGTACTACTTAGAGAATATGAATAATGGAATTTTACCAATCACACGCTGTTTTTCAGCTTCTAGAAATTTAAACATTCCACGACAAATACGTTTCAGTCTTCCGACAATCATTCATAGAATTTCTGATCGGAAAATAAATAAATAAACAAAGTTAGGTGGACGTATCACGGTGAAAATGGAATATTTCTATCATTCAGCCTTTGAACGTAGTTTTTTTTTTGTTTATTGGAAAATGAAATGTTTCATAAACAACGTCATTTTTGACATTAACGTTACGAAAAGAGCATAAGAGATCATTTCATCAATGCGCTGTTGCCAAAACTGCGAAATTTCTGCAGAAACCAGGAAATTTTAGAAAAATGTATATATATGCTATAAAAAAGGGTTTTTTTGCATTTTTTTCCCGTCAGATGCACTTCGACAATTACTCGACAATTATCTATAACAACTGTGATTCCATTGGATGTTTATTTTCCAGTGGCACTGCTAACTTAATATTAAGTTAGCACAGCCACCCCGTATAAAAAAAACTATAAGCGCGACAATTTTTTTTCTTTCACGACAAATTCTCGACAATTATCCGACAATCATTGGAACAGGTTTTATAAATTTTTCAGCAAGTGGCTCTGCTAACTTTATGGGGGTGAATTGACATTTGTTGAAGGTAGGCGTCATACCAATTGATCATCAATCAGAAAGAGAAGTTCTGCCTTTGTTTCCACTGTCAACTATTTTTTTTATTATAGTGATATTGAAATTTTACTAGGAATATATTATTTTATCGCTTGGAGCGCACGAAAGGAAATCCCTATAATGTTCAAAGAACATCGTGCGTTCCTAGGGAGGATAGGGACAGGAGGTATATAGGTATTGGATTTTTTTTGAACTTCTGGAGATTAAATGTTGTTGGGAATACCTACTTCTTCAGGCAATGAATTCCAGAGCCTAGCCGTTCTATGGATGAAGGAGTTTTGATAAAGTTCTGTTCGACATCTTTCGAGGTTGACAACGAAAGGATGTGCTGACTGGGCTTGTCTAGTTCGTCTGACTGGTATTGCTAGTGAAGGGATGTTACATTTTTTTCCTTGGGAAATATGCGCAATAGGAAATTTTCACAGGAATAACAAAATGAAGATAATTAATCAGTCATTTCGCTCAGAAAATTTTAGAAGTGTGGGTGGTTTCAACCTGTTCTACAATTTCTTTCGGGTTTATTTGATCACTGAAAGAAGGGTTATCCTCTGAAATCCACTTTTGCCAAATTTCATCCAACTTGTTTCACTCATTTTTTGACAGCATAAAATAATGTACATTTCAATGTAAACTTTGAACTCGTCTCACGGACAAATGATAAATTTTTTTATATGAATAAGTTGGGTCCAATCAATATATTTTGAACTATAATACAGGTGCTACTCGAGGTGCTAGCTATTTTGGGTCACCCTGTCTAACTTATTCTTGTTGGAATGATAGATGTATTGTGTCTTTAAAATGTTTCAATAAAAATTGGGCTAACCGACTTTAACAACAAAAAAGTGCGCATTTATGGGCATTCATGTCATAAAAGTGACTTGTGGCAGTTGTAGTGCCATATAAAAAATCAAAAAAATATATTAATTCAGCCACCTAGGTACCAGATTATGATTTCTCATGCCCGAAAACCTCTCTAATTTCAGAATTTGTATTGTAGGTATCCATGTTCAAAAACGTAGACATTTCTTCTGCAAAAAATAAATTTGAAAAAATGCAATTTTTTAGCAATATTCTACAACAGCACGTTGGCTCAAATCATTATGTTGCTCCCAATGTTTTGAAGTCAAAAATCTACCACATGCACAATTACTTAAGGACCTTAAAGGACCACCCTGTATAATTAGTACTGTTTACCATAATAATAATAAACTGTGATAACAGTGGGGACCAGATCTTTGGTGATGATGAATTACCTATTATCATTAAGTACCTACCTATCTGGATTATTATTGTTGATGGAAAGTTAATTATAGGAAGGTGTATAGGTATCTACTTATGACATTAAATCTATACAGGTTGATCAGATAATACCTAATAGCAAATTAATTGGAGAATAAAAAAAATGGAATACCTACCTTGATTTGTGAATTCAGGTCGTCGTGATTTTGAGAGAGTCTTCTAGAACCGTCTTGCCGTTTCTTGATTCCGGGGCTCTGGTGGTTGTAGTTGTATTTGAAGCTTTTACCATCTTGCAAGACGAAACTTCTATTAACCGCGCGTTTGATAGCACTTCGTATGGCCCCTTTCAGATCATTTTCGGTGGTCTCCTCGATGGTATGAGACTGCCTGATGTACTTCTCAACGGATTTTAATGTAGAACCGTCCCGTTCACCTAATTCGCGGACTGCCTTGGTAACAACTTTCGTCAAATCGACCCCCTGTTCTATTTTCAAAGTCCTATTCTGCAAGCCACCTGGGTCTTTATAGGAACTCTGGCCTTTGTTGAACACCTTCAGCACGGCCCCTTCTTTAACTGAAGCTTCTAAATGTTCGGCGATAACGTCTTCGTGGTAATTGTTGTGGTGTTGTCTTATCGCATGACAAATCCTTTCAACACTAGGCCGCTGCTTTTGCGAACGAATTTTCGTAATTGCGTCTAGAAACCAGGATGACCAGACTTTTTGAGACACTTCCGCGAGTTCACACATAGTTTGAAGCCTTGAAGGTATCAACGGAAAGATGAAAAAAACTCAGTTATTTTCTACGATCATTATCCGGCGGAAGACGACTCCCGCCTAAATAAATTTTCTTACGTGTTTAATCGCTTTATTAACGAAGGATCACTGGAAAATAACTTTTTAAACACGAACGTGCTCGATGATAAAGCTAGAAAATATGCTGGAATCCTTTTCCAATTCAAGACTTTTGTGATACATCACGATCTTATTCCGATACGCAGAACGAATTCCGACGGCAGCCATCTTGAGATGGTCGAAACGGTAAACATTTTAATTGTTATTTACTCACTTTGCTACATATTTCCGACAAATCTAATGAACTAAACCGTTGCATACCAAATATCCGAGTATTGCAATGACACCAACACTATGAAACACCCTTCAACAATGAGAAATCATGTAAATTGAGCACACTGCACCCAGTTTATCGTTCCGGCGGCAGACGATCGTTTCAATAATTCCACGTAACTCTCTGTCAGCTGCCGTCGCTTGGGACGATCGTTATTCAGGACATAAGTGGCATTTTATTTTATCCAATTATCTCATTATAATTATTAGCGTAATTTAAATCAATACACTGACTGTAGGCGAAGACAAACAAATACCTATTATTTAGACAAGTCATCTCGAAACATCACAACAAAAGGTTAATTAATTATAATATGACAAAATGGCCAACAGGCGCGCGCATATCAGTATTGTCTCCCTTCACCGTGTTTCTACGTTTATAGTTCCAAGTTCCAAGTGATTTCGAGCAACGAGCAAGAGATGAATTATTATGACGCTGGTTATGAGGATTAATGATTATACAGGGTGAGTCATAACTATTGGGAAATAAGCTGAGGTCGGATTATTTGGACCAAAATATGGCTATAGGACCAAATACCTATGCCTCAATAAAATATTGCCGTGGAAAAAGATACAAGGCGTTTCAATCGAAATAGTATTGTCTATATAAGGTCGCACCAAATAAAATTATTCACTGACAAAGAATGGTCATTTACCAGCAACAATTATGTGCCAGTCCGAAGCACACTCTTCATAAATTAAATAATATTTGAATGTCACGAAAACGAATGAAAATATTCGTGTTTAAACAGGATTATCATTACCTCTATTACGTAGTAGAAATGATGATTATGTCATAATTTCTAATCAAAATCACTAAGAAGTATCAAAAAAGTTGCCAGTCAATTTCATTATCAGAAATCATTCAAGTGGCGCCCTCCTGTGAGAAACTATAGAATAATGAATTAAATGATATTCCCTGTATAACTTTATGCCTCCGTGCCAATTTTGATAACAATTGATACATATAAATTGATATACATACCTATATATATACAGTGAAATCATCATCAAAAAACGAAAAAGAAGAAATTCGATCGATTTTAACGCCCTGTATCTTTTTTCTCGAGGCATATTTGATCCTACCGCCATATTTTGATCCAAATCGGCCCTTAGCCTATATCCCAATGGTTAATGGTTATATGACATGGTCAAGACTCACTTTGTATAATAGAAATAGATAATACCTGATGAAGGCATAATAATATAAATAAATGATATTATTTATAGAGTACCTATTGCTATACACTGACTGGAATATAATCAAAATCGGTATAAATGTCTCTTCGCTCTAGGCACCTCTAGGTATACCTATAATATACCTATACCTACTATAGTAGAAAATTATAGGTATATTTATCCTACCTACCTAAACCTATACAGGATGGTGACAAATAAGTGTCACAATGGAAAACTGAAGATTCCTCTTATGAAAAGGGAATTTTTTGTCTTTACGAAATTTTTCTACGGGCTTCCGTTTTCACGATACATGGTTTCAAAAAAAATCAGTTTTTTGCTCTTATCTCAGGAACCGTTTGAGCTATATACGGAGCTGAGCCTTTGTACAGGGTGATTCACCATAAATGTCCCCCCTCTAGCTCACTTATTTTTGAACCGATTTAATAATTTGAAAAATCTTCTAAAATGATTTTTCAGAAATTTTTTTCCCGTTGCATCAGAAAATACAGGGTGCTCGGACCAAACGATCTACAGAGTACTACTTGATTTTTTCAAATGGAACACCCTGTATTTCATTGTATTTTTGTATTCTCCCTGAAGAGCTGATTTCATCAATGTATCACACTTGCGGTCTAACGGATATGATTACAGAGATATGGGGTGTTCAAAATCGAGATTTTTCAAATTTAGGATATTTTTCTGTCGAAACTATTCATTATTGGTCAAAACGGCTTTGATGTCCCTATCTCAACTTTTGATTTACTATCTACTGACATTTCATTTGGAACATATATACATCAGTGTGATTCAAGATTCAGAATTCTGACCACCCTGTATCTGTTCCAATTAATAAATGTCAGTAGATAGTGAATCAAAAAATAGATACGGACATGAAAGCGGTTTTGACCAAAAATGAATAGTTTCAACACAAAAAAATCCTAAAGTTGAAAAATCTCGATTTTGAACACCCTATATCTCCGTAATCATTCCCGCTAGACCCCAAGTGTGATGCATTGATGAAATCGGCTCTCCAGGGAGAATATAAAAATACAATGAAATACAGGGTGTTCCATTTGAAAAAATCAAGTAGTACTCTAGCACCCTGTATTTTCTGATGCAACGGAAAAAAAATCTGAAAAATCATCTAAGATGATTTTTCAAATTTTCAAATCGGTTCAATAATAAGTGAGCTAAAGGGGGGGACATTTATGGTGAATCACCCTGTACACATTCACCATTAATAATGACTACTTCTAAAACTCTTGATCAATTTCCTTGGACATGTCAGTGGCAGAGAGTTCAACGCCTCGTATGGGTTTAACCCCCCAAACTTTCATGCCACTAAAGAAATTGTAACTTTCAAAGCTCATTCTGAAGCACCAATATCTTCCACACAAAAAAGGTCCTCTAGCTTCAATCGATCAATTCAAAATTCATGAATAAAGCATATTATAGAATCCTCGTATCTCGGAAAATCGTCTGAAAATCAAGTAACAACTGGAAATAAATTACTTCAGAACTGTCAAACAAAATGTTCAATCAAATGTCAGGATGTTATTGAGTGGTGGGACACGAATTGTTGAGTTTATTAAGTGTTGTAAAGTGTTTGTAATTGTAAATGAATGACTTCACCAATAACGAATAATATATATACTACTGACATAACAAAAATTTACGGTGAATCACGCAGTAATGAAAGAGCTGCACAACGGCTGTATTCGCAGCGTTTTCCAAATCGTCGAACGCCATCTTACCGGATTTTTGCCCGAATTGAGACCAGAGTCGGATCAAGGGTATATTGCGCCCCAAGCTGAACCAAAATTTGCGCCTCCCCTTGGCCCTATTTGTCTTTTTTAACACGAACATGAATTATGGAATGAGAAAACAGAAGAATTGAAAGAAAAACAAAATGTTTTTATATAGATGTTTTGTTCCAATACATGTCAAAAAACGAAAAATAATAGTAGATTGTTTCATTAGGATCAAAAGTGACACTTTGTTTGACAAGCGAATTTCGCGAGTCAAACAAAGTCACTTTTGATCCGAAATAAACATGCTATTTTTTCGGCAACCGAAACAATTTACTCTAATGAATATGTGAAGTAAGTACCAATGCCGTGCCATTGAGCATATCAACAATAATAATAGCAATTATTTATTCCTGTCCATACTACACTGGGTTTGACTTGATAATCAAATGGAGGTGAACATTATCGTTGTTTGAGACAAAAGACTAATGCTTGCCGTGATGATTCAAAAACAAGCTATGCATCCCGAGAATAACGAATGAAATGCAGATCAAGCAAGTATATGTGAATCTTGAAGGCTTCCCTGATCAAAACTGGAATACTCAACTGTGGTGTTTATAACTCCTTTACTCAACTATGATATCTTCCGAAATCGGAAACAAATCAGGTATGCGTCTCAACCCAAATAATCAACTGTAACAATGTTGTTTATTCTTGATGACGTCTAGTGTATCCTTTTTAGTTCCTAGGAGCTAAAGTTCAAGTTTAGCTCCTAGGAACTAAAGTTCAACTTTAGTTCCTATAAGAACTAAATATGTTGCCTAGCAACATACCTATTTTTGTGTCAGTAATAGAAACGTAAATTCAAGAACTAATTTTGGCATCAAAATGGAAGACTTTTGTGTCGGTTGCAGAAAAAAACATTTTTATTATCACATAACAATCATGAGATAACTATATAATGTGCAATTGAAACAAAACAAGCCGTCAATATAACATTATGAACAAAAATATTTTTTCTGTGACGGGAAAAAAGTTTGGCATTTCATCTCTTTTGGCAGGTTATAAAATGTCACTTTTCATAAATTACTTTTTTCCCGTGGGAAAAAAGTGAGTACTTCTTTCCCGGATATATATCACATATATATACTCTGTTAATGGCTTTTGTTGTGCTATAGTTCCGAAAAATGAGTCAATAATAGCGTCTCCGAGAAAGAACTGCAAGTCCTTTCATCTTCCATTCGACTTCGCGGTTTCGTATATTACTAAACAACTACTGAATTCGCAATTTTTCATAATCAAATCACAGAATTGAACTGACAGAAGTGACATCAGATATTTGATTACTTCAAAAGAATGATAAAGATGTCTATAAAACGCAGGTGTCCCTACTGTTAAAAACTTGAAATTTCACGTCGATAATTTTCAGATTTCGAAATAATGTAATATCTTCTCAATATTGATTCATCCTTCCTTCTGTCACAGAAAAAAATAGTGTATTATACACGGGAAAAATATTAGATTTTAGCTCACGGTTTTTTGTCTCCCTCCGCTACGCGTCGGGAGACAACACAACCTGGAGCTAAAATCTACTACTTTTTTCCCTTGTATAATAAATAACTATTCTTTCTTGCTTTTGCATGAGCAAATTCATTTACAATTTCCGCAAAGTCTAATTTCCGAAAAATTTCGTCT